CTCATCAAAAAACCGTAGTTGGTTCTCATCGAGTTCGATAGCATCTCTAGAACGTTTTCCCTTGATACATTCATGCAAAGGGCCTGCGAACTGCGCAAAATCCTTGCCGAATCTCGAAATGTAAACAGTTGTCCCAAGAAAGCTTTCCATTTGCTTCTTGGTCTTGGGAACTGGCCAATCTGCGATAATCTTCACCTTGTCTGGGTCCATTCGAACGCCGTTGCGTCAGACGAAGTCGCCTAAACATGGAATCTCATCCACGCAAAAATTGGCATTTGGACAGTTTTATGTAAAGTTTCTGTTCTTCACATCGCTTCAGTACTCTGTCCAGCGCGGCAATATGCTCGTTGACATCTTCACTCTTTGTGTACACGTAAATGTCGTCGAAGTAAATCCGCATCACATCACGTAAGTCCCTAAAAAGCTTTTGTAACAACCTGTTAAAGGTCCCCGGACTACCACTGAGTCCCATGGTCGTGACGAGATGTTCAAAAAGACCGTCTGGAGCCGAAAAAGCAGTGAAAGGTAAATCTGATTCACATACCTTGACTTGGTAATAACCCGAGAGTAAGTCCATGCACGAGAACCAACAACTGCGTGCCATCGCATCAAAGGTGTCTTCTTTGCGAGGCATCGGAATGGCCGTAAAACCGTAGCCAAATTCAACTGCCGATAGTCGTCTACAATTCGCCAACCGACTGGTTTCTTCACACAGAAAGTCGGTGCGCAAAATGCTGACGTACTCGGTCGAATGATGCCAGCCTGAACCATCTCTTTGGTCCATTCCTGTATCGTTTTCCTCTGATCAGGACGTTGGCGCCATTGTTTTACTGAAATAGGCGTAGTACCAGGTTTGAGCAGAATCTCATGCTCAATACCTTCACGTACTGGGGGTGTCTCATTTGGAAGTTCCGTACGAAAAACTGTATCAGCATACTTATGTAACGTTTCATACGCAGGATTGTCCTTGAGAGCATCCCATCCTTGCCTCTTGAAGCGTTCCGCCTTCTCCGAGTCATACGGATTGATGACAAACACTGCTTCAATGTCCTTGTCCTTACGCAGCATGTGCTGGAATTGCTGGGACGAAATAATCTTCGTTCGTCCAAACTGACCACTGTGGCCATGCTGCCGATAGTAGTTGAA